CTGCGGCGACTATTTTGCAATTCCGGCAGTTGGAGGTGGCTGCAAAGCGCTAGGAGGCGGCCGCAAGGTGTTGGCAGCCATGGTTCCGTGCAGTTGTAGTGAGGTTTCCACCACGAAACCATGAGACGAGTCCATCGTGGTGGTGTTACTCTTCGTACGTCTTGAATCGACCATGGTTGATTGGAAAAAAGTGTGGAAAATGGATTTGGAGCACGCTTTGAGTATTATTTCGCACTCTCAATGAAAGCACCAATTTGTGGGAGTAAATTTCTTCCCACGAGAATATTCAATTGAGATTCCTCTTCCTTCGTCGCCGTCTCCTTCTCTCTGCAAAATAGATCGGAGTAAAAGGACCACACCTGGGGGGTGTTGGCCAAAGGCCCTCCGATGCCTAAGTTAAGTTGGGTGTTTCAAGGAAAATCGGGTGGCCGAAGCCGTATGTGGTGGTCAGAGCCTTGTGTGAGAAAGAGAAAGAATATGGTGGCTAGGGTTTGTGAGGGATAATTTCTGCATCGGGTGGCCGAAGCCGTATGTGGTGGCCAGAGCCTTGTGTGAGAAAGAGAAAGAATATGGTGGCTAGGGTTTGTGAGGGATAATTTCTGCAGAGTTTCAATAGGAATTTTGATGTCTCTAAACCCTTATGTGTAGCCAAGTATTAATAGGGGCCTCGGAGGCTAGATTTTCAGAGGAATAATTCCGTATATGGAAATGAATTATTCCTCCCCGATTATGCGAGATTTGATTAATTAGGGATTTGATTTATTTGATTTAAATCAAATCCCTAATTGGGGTAGGAATCAAATCAATCCCAATTTTAATTAGGTAACTCCCAATTAAATTGGGTAACTCCCAATTAAATTGAGTAACTCCCAATTAGGTCAAATAATCCCCGAATGGAAGGAATTATTTGACCTAGGGTTTTGATTTAATTCGGTTCCCACAAGCATAGAGGAATAAATTTATCATTTCATGTTTCAGGTGCTCCAACAGTAGCAATATGGAAAATATGATGTGTTTCAATTGTTGGTAAATAAAAAGTCTTTATGCATCCACGAATTTCATATGATTGGATCTATTATTTCCTAAAGAAATATAATCATTACATAATTCCCTGAAATGAATGTAAGCTCTATATCATTTTCGAAAACAAATGTCACTAAACACATTATCTCGGAAGTGAAATGTTTTTGAAGTTAAATAGTATAAATGGAGGGTCTTGTATGACAAAGTCTCAAAGAATTATGATATTTATTGTTAGTCGAACAACACACACAACTATTTGAGTTGAAAATTATTTTGAGTTTAATTAGCACTCATTTTGATGAGACCAAAATTCCTGTCGTTAGGAGGTGATTTGGTTGTTCTTGAAAGAACAAAGAACGAAGTGAATGATTATAAAATATATTTATTATTGTCTCATTAAACAAATTGGTATAGAAGATAAATGCCAAAAGCATATTCAAACACAAAAAGGATTGTAAGTCAAATGACTAGAAGCATATACAGACACAAAGTAAGTGACTACTAATAACCAATTTGTTGCATGCCTAAAGCACGACAGATTTATTGATTGCAAAAACTGAACTCCCCATAAAAGCTGTTGGATGCCAGAAGCATGACAGATTTATAGGTTCCACAGACTTAACTCCTCAGAAGAGGAGATTAATTGCAAAGTTTAAGCCCTATTTAAAATAACGCTCTAGAAGAGGTTATGATCCACATTCTATAAATTATACATCTTAGAAGAGATATGTGTCCATGAAGTGATAATGAAAGCCTCTAAAGTGGCACTGGTACCAGAAAATAATGAAAGCAATGAGATGCTTATAAATTATTCATACGCATGCACATGAGAATCGTGGGATCATGAATTGATATATTGGTTTATAGTACGTACTAAAGTTATCAATGGCTATAACATGATGATATTGCACCACTTGTTATAATTGTCGACAAATATAAATAAAGATTGGCCAACTGAAAGAGGCAGTCCAGTAAAGTTGAATATTTCCCAGAAAAGTGTAATGATTGAACCTATAGTTAAACACCAAAAGGATATAAAAATGTATATGTTACAAATTGGTGTTTAAGATGAAGTGAAATAAATTACTTGATGATATGACACAACGTTTCCCAGTAAAGACATGGGATTATGATGGTAAATATATGCAGTTATGTTTACCATATTTATGAAAAATTCATGCGTATAAAAAATTCCTAAAGGATTCATAATGCTTGAAGAAAATGATTTAAAATATGATGGCTTGTAATGATCATTGTGTGGATTAAAGTATTGTGGAAGAATATGGTATAATCGTCTTAATGAATATCTATTACAAAAGGAATATATAAATAATTTGAAAATGAGTTTACCATCATTGTAGTATGTATATGAAGAATTTTGTTAGAACTCTTGAAGAGTTTACAAAGGCTTCCCCTGATTTAATAAAGGAATTTGAGATGAAAAATCTAAAAAGATTATGAAGTTAAGCATATCGCCAGAAGCGATCTTTTGAAGAATACATAGGGATAAATTCTGAGAGATGTAAAATGTCATACATTATATAAATTATTGAAAGAAAATTTCTAAAGAAGTTAAGGAGCCCGAAGCTCAATGTATGTATTCAAATATCATGAAATGAAAGTGATCTAATTGCCTCAGTAAGTACTTTGATTGAATTATGAGTTCGAGATCAAGATCAATATCATTGCAACGTATTCAAAATTTTAAAGAAATTATCAGAATATTTAGTTCTCTTAAAGATCCTATGACATGCTAGCATAATATACACAAATGTATATGAATCGCATATTACATTATGCAATTTTATACTCTTTTTCTCGTAACAGTAACGTATGAGTTTGCTTATATTATTATTTTGATGATATTATAGAATATGATGTTATTTTAAGAATTTTTAATGTAAAAGGATTTGTGAAAATAGTCTAGATATTTTTGGTATTACTCTAACCTCAATAGGGATTCAAAAGAATGACACACATACATCCTCCAATGATGATATTGAAGAAATGTTTATACAAAGCATTACCAAAGCTTGTTCTGCAGGAGGAAAATGAGATATCAATATCATTTGTGTTGTATCTTCAAATAATTCAAGTTTGTCTTCATCAGGGGGAGTAATTCATCAAGGGAGGATTCAACAATTTTCTACATATAGGACATAGGCACGCTGTACTCTTTTCCCTTGGACTAGGTTTTTGTCCCATTGGGTTTTTCGTATCAAGGTTTTAACGAGGCAGGATAAGAGCGTCCAACACCATATCAACGATCTAGAAGAATGTTGCACTCTTTTTCCCTTTGCTTAGGTTTTGTCCCACTGGGTTTTCCGAGCAATGTTTTTAATGAGGCAACTATGTCAATTATATGGTGGACATCCAAGGGAGAGTGTTGTAAATACATGAGTTGGTGGATAACCACCATACCTCTTAGCATTCACCCTTTCTAACTATGTAACCTACACACTAAATAGCATAGTTATGGGCTTGTAATTTATGAGTTGTTAATGTCTTCTTACCATTGTAAGCCTATAAATAAGAGGTCTTATCAAGAGGAGATATACAAGTTGATTGACACAAATTCTATTGTCTTTCTCTACTTTCCAATTCTCTCTACAATTTTCCCTTAGTTATATAACACACATCTCAAGTATTTTTCTCCCTATATTTCTTTTGCATACTTCCACGCAGGATCTTTTCGATTCATAGCTATAAAACAACACCATTAATATTTCTAAGATACAAGTATGATGCATGTACGTCAAATTTCTACTATATCACATAAACGAATAAGATAACTAATATACAGTTCCGATCTCTTGGACCACATGTGTCCAAGAGATTGTGGTCACCCACCGTTGGATATTAATCTAACAGTTCAAAAAAGTTTCTTAAAATGAGTGCAAGAGTGAGTGAATCGTTGAATTTACATCCAACGGTTAGTGATCACAAATCTCTTGAACCCTTGTAGTCCAAGAGATCGGGACTGAACTAATATATTGAAAAAAAATTATATGGAACCTCAAATTACAGTTGCGAAGAATTAGAGAGAAAAATAAAATGGCTTACTTGCAGTTGAAAGATGAAGATAATTTTTTCACCAAAAAAAAAAGAAAAAAAAAAAAGAAGAAGATAATTTTTGAAATTGATGGAGATTATCTGGTAATGGTAGAAATTAGGGTTGTACTATACAATATATATCTGTATATATAAAGCAAAAGGCAGAGAATGGTGAAACATTCAAAATACCAAAAAATGCCCTTGGTTAATGCAAACATTAAGAATTGAAATTATTAATTAAATGAGGATAATATTGGTAAATTCACACTTTTTCATATTTAAAAAAATTAAAATTAAAAGAAAAATCAGATAATAGATCCTATTTTTATGGAACACAACTACCCATTATCTTTTTTAATTCTAAAATAAATTTAATTTTTTTAAAAAAAAGCCTATTGCAAGCGCGGAAGCGCGTGCAGAGAGGCTAGTATATATATACTAGCTCCTTGGCACATGCGTGCATGCTCACACATGTGCCAATTGGTTTTTATTATTATTATTATTATTATTATTATTATTTTAGTATTAAGAAAAGATAACATGAGTAGTTATTATCTAATTTCATTTGTAATTAAAAAATATGAATTTACCATATTATCCTCATTTAATTAATAATTTTAATTCTCTGGATTTAGAAAAGGCAATAAAGATATTAATTCTTCTTGCCTTAAGTTTTTACAATAAAGGTAAGAAAAAAAACGGAAACTTGCGTTTTTTATATTCATTTGTAATTAAAAAAATATGAATTTACCATATTATCCTCATTTAATTAATAATTTTAATTCTCTGAATTTAGAAAAGGCAATAAAGATATTAATTCTTCTTGCCTTAAGTTTTTACAATAAAGGTAAGAAAAAAAACGGAAACTTGCGTTTTTTATATCAAAACACTCCAAGTGAAACGACGTCGTTTCATTACAATAAACCTAAAAAGAAAACACGCGAGTCGTCTTCCTCGCAGTGTCGCAGCCAATTTTCATACTCGCAAAATTTCTTCAGGTTCAGAAGTGTCCAGATCTGGCACGGCTCGCTCCGCCTGGCCACGCCTTGCAACACCTCCTTACGCCTTCCCCGCGCTAAACGTGCAACTCGTGAAACAGCCGACCGCCTCTGGCGATTTCCTGCTGCCTCACTCCGACGCGCTCGCCGACGCGCACGAAGGCATGCCTTTAAAAACACTGCCAGGGACCGATTTCAATGTTGCGGAGGCAAAGGAGCCCCAGAATGCGAAACAAGAAGCTCAATTCACAGACCCAGATGGTATAATTTCACTTCACGCATCTTATATTTGTGTTTCTACTGACAGCATTTGTATTTAATTTATTCAATTTTGGGTTTTTTTTTTTTTTCTGTTCTTTTCTTTTTATAGGTTGATTTTTAACGTTCAATGGGTAGTTGTAATACGGTTTCCATTTTAATGAGAAACTATGCTTCTGATTCTCCATCGGAAAAGAATGATGTCTTTATTTTTATTTTGATGTTGGGCTGTCCATCCTTCTATTAGTCTTAAAAAGTTTTGATTTTATAATCCCCTCTTTATTGTCATGTGTCCAAAATTCAGATTCAATGAGCAATTTTCGGGCATTTAAGTTGCTAAATTATATTTCAGAATTCAAATTTCAATTAATTTGTGACCAAATGCTCGTATTGTTTGTTTGTCTTTTCACAGTTGAGCGGCAAATTTCTGCCATTAGGGCTATTCGTGATGTTGAGACTGAACATCTCCTGACTAATTTGCGTTTGCTTCGCTCCTACTTCAACAAGGAACAGCAGCGAACCCCTCTATTGCAATATTTTAAAGAGAACTTTCAAAACCTGTCGAATGGAAGAAATGGAGAAAATGGACAAATGGAAGTGCAATGGATTGATAAAGATGGCAATGTATCCATGAATGATGGAATGGATTTACATGAGACTCTTCTTCGCCTGTTGTCCATTGCTTATTCTGGTTGTTCAGCAGCAATTCCATCTCTTGGTGGCTTTGAGTTTTCTAGCAAAGCAGGTATTAGCAACTTTAGAAACTCCTATTTTTTGGACATGGGGATCTGGAATTTGAGGAATGAGTTTGTACCCCTCATTGTTTGTGTGTTTTTTATATCTCACATGATTGAGTTGGTTGGTGGCAGATAAAACAAGCCTTCTGGGTGCTGATAATCTGCAGATCAGCGACTTTGTATGTTCTCTTCTTATATACACGTCTAGATCAGCGACTTTGTATTTAAAAATGTTTAAATACATTTTTATATGCTTATGTAGCACACATGCAATTAATATATAGTGAAGGTTCAATTCCATGTTGTGCATACAAACAACACATGACGCACACACACATACACATATGCACACAGACACACATGTATATGCACATACACACACATGCATACATAAATGCATACATCAATCCATTAATACACATACAGATATTTACCTTGCTGAAATTTCTATTGTAGGGTTTAGAGGAGCCATTTGATAGTCTGATGCTAGGGAAGCAAGATACTCTCCAAACTCCTGGGGTTTGTAGCTTCTTGATTGATTTATCATATTTGGGTCTATTCGGGCTGCAATTGGTTTTATTATGACAATTTGTGTTGTTCTGTTGATAGCTTTTGGTTAGATTTCAAATTCTTTTACCATAAATTTGAATAAGTAGAAGTCCTAAACGGCTTACTGAAGTGCATGAGCTCCAGAAGTATAAATGCTATCAGCGTCTATCCTCAGGACCTAAAAGAAGTGCTAAGCTGATTTTCTATTAGTGCTAACAACTACGAGCAAACCCTTGTTGCTTTAGTGAATTTACGTAAATTAGGGAGATTATGTTGTAAGCCCTTTCAGAATGTTGAAGAGTCCAAAGTTCTGGACTTCTGAAAAAAAACCAGTAATGTTGACATAGAAATCGATATGTAAAGGGGAAAACCGGAAAATATTATTAAGTTCAGTGACCTTAATTGTGTGGAGAGAAAAATAAGTTATTAGGACAAGTTTTCTAGGTATTGAGTTGTGACTAGAGTATGCAAAAGTTAGTACTTAGTTGAACTGCCAATATAGTTGTTGATTGTCCTAAAACTCTCTGCTGTTGTACTGTTGGATATACTATTGAGCAAAAAGAGCATCTTGATGGCTCTTCCAGTCCGTATGATCTAATCAACCCTGGTTGACGCTGCAGGTGAGTAGCCAGAGGCTGTCTATTGGGATGACACCGAAGACGCGAAGGCTCCCGAAGCCTGGAGAGATGCTCTTATCTGTCCATGGCTCACCCCTTGGTGTGTACAAGGAAGACAACATGGAAGCCATACATGGTATGAATCCCTTCCAATGAGTACCTGTTCTTTCTCTTGTTTATAATGTCAACACTACAACTAGCACATGCTTGCCATTTATCAAGTGGAATTTATTTGGGCCTTTGAATTTCAAATTTATCTTTCTTCCCTTTGTGAGATTATGGCAAATATACCCTTTTATGTAATGGATGGACTCATGCTATGTACGGGAGTGAATAATATGTCCCTTAAACTGAAAATTTTCATTTCTTTTGCTTTCATTCTAATTTATGGATTGATGGGCAGAGTCGGAAGAGGGATTACTGGCTTGAAATGGCTCAAGTGGTCAATCAGGATTCACGACCGTGCATTACTTGCCAATCCAAGGTTTTTTAATTTACTTCTAGCATTGTGCTAACAATCACTGCAGTGCCTGAAAATGCTCTTGTATCATTGTGCTGACACCTTTGAGATTGGATTTATGTGAAATATATTCTATCATTTTCCTGTATATAATTCATACGTAATTTTCGTCATTTGTTTTAGTAATTTCCCAAGAGAATCGAACATGAACGTTGATTTAAGCCAGAGCATAGTGATAAACTACTCGGTTTTACTCTCAATTCATTTCTATCCACCAACATTGCTTTGATTTTTGCTTCTTAGTCATTCAAATGTAGTCAGCCCCTTTCAGATTTTCCATAAATGCCAAATAATTTTAACTTTTGGTTTGATGTAATTCTCTGTGTTGTAGAAATGTGTGTTTGTGTCATGTTTAGGCCCACGTCATGAGTAAGATTTTGGTATCTCATTAACTTTTATTTCTTTCCTCTGACGGCCCCATTCACGTCAATCTGCCGACAGAGCAGGTGTTGCTGTCTTAAAGTGTCATTTGGTCTATATCCCATGCGTTCTTGGTCTTCCTCTTGTCCTTTTAGGGCTCGTTTGGTACGGCGGACTGTTATGGACAGGACTAAATCCTGGGACTATCTTGGATTAGCTCGGATTGGCTTAAGCTGGATTAAGTACTGACCTACGTTTGGTGCTGCGTCGGACTAAGAAGCTGGATTGTAAAAATAGTGAAGAACTATGTTTGGTGCTCTGTCGGACTAAAAAATAAATATTTAATATTTAAATTTAATTAAAAAATTTAACCTATAAATAAAATTATAATATTTATTTTTGTGGTCAATTCATCATTTCATTAACTTGTCTGTATGTAAAGTGGGAGAGTGAAACGTTTGTATCTTCTTTTCTCTTTTCTTTATTGTTTATTCTTTCTCTCTTCTCTCTCTCTCTTCTTTCTGATCTCATTTTCTTCTTTTCTTTTCTTCCTCTTTCTTTCCTTCTTTCTTCTCTCTGTTTCTGGTTTCATTATTTTTCAGCTTTTCTCTATTTGGAACTTCTACGAATTGGAACTGTTTTTCTCTTCTCTTTTTTGGGTTTCATTATTCTCTGTTTCTGGTTTCTTTATTTTCTGGTTCTTCTCTTTTACCAATTCCCTAAACCCTTTTTGATTCGTGTTTTTCTCTTGTGTACAGACAAAGATGACGAAGAGAGATGGTTCTGGGTTCTGCAGGTGGCTGGGGTGGTGAAGAGAGATGGGTCTGTGTGTGGCTTGCAGGTGGTGGTCATGAGGGAGAACAAATTCAGGGGAGAAGGGGGGAGCACTGGGTATTGGGTTTTGCCAGAGTCTTTCAATTGGGTCTCTGGTGGTGGGGTTTTGATTCAAGGCATAAGGAAATCCAGTCGGACTCGAGTGTTCGAAATAGCGATGGTGCTATTTTGCGAAGTGCATTTGGGGCTCGCTGTGTAAGACATGCGAGTCCGGTTATTTTTTCACTGTTGGACTATGGAATCTCATTTAAGTTAATCCCCTTCCTTACCAAACATGGGTTTTAAGTGTTATTTAGCCCAATCCAGTCCAGTGAGGCATAGTGAGGCAATTTCTTCTGCCGTTTTCATCTTCTTGCAATTCTACTGCTATTACAATCTTCTTCCCCATTTACAGTTAAAAAAAGGCCTGTACTCTTCTCACACTTGTGTGTGATTTCTTCTAATGTAGAAGAAGCAAAATTTTACATAAGCGAATGTATGGTAATTATGCACTGTTTTTCCTTTCGTTTTGGTTTTGGTTTTGGTTTTTTGGGTGTGATTTCTTTTGTTCTGTTTTGTTTTGCTAGTGGAACCCTTTCTGAGCATGTTAAATAAATTCAAGTAACTCGAGTTCAAAGTTGTTAAATGGATAATTTTTTATGTCTGAAATTCCCTTGCGTCATAAAAAGACAAGCTAAAGTTTTGAGGACAAATCAAATTTGGTGTTGTAGGCCTAGAAAGAAACTGATGGAATCCTGTCATATGCCAGTAGGGAATTCTTCTCTGCCGGCTGAATATACTCCATCATAAAAACGATCGACATCATATTTTAATTTTGAAGTGTGCCTTGATATTACATCCATCCAAATATAACAAAGATTAAGTAGTATTTACCAAACACAAGGAAACAAAGATTAGGACCCTTGTTTATTAGAATTCATCCTTGATATCCACTTCACAATAATTTAGTCGGCAGTAGCTTGAGACAAGAAGTGCCATAAACAACTAGGAATTATTTCTCATCCATATCTTTGAGAATTCGGGAGTAATTAAATCAATTTTTTTTTTGGTGACGAATGCGAAAATATAATTTAAGCTTAGCTAAGAGTGTGCTTTTTCCTTAATATCCACTTCAAAATAGTTTCAGTTCTACAAACAACTTATCTCATCCATGTCTACGAGAATTTGGTATCAATTAAAATAAAGCTACTCTTTCCTTAATTAAAATAAAAAATAGAAATTAATAAGGAATAGGCGGGCATTAAACTTAGCCAAGAATGTGTTTTTCTAGGATTACTAACCACATTGCTGACCACCTCTCTAATACAAATGCAGGTGGATCCTATGTACATTGATGGGGTCCACCTCTATTAGAGAGGTGGTCGGCAAGGTGGTAAGTAAATGTGGTCCAAATAGCATTATTGGTTTTTTTAATTCCATCTTCAATGCCGGATAAATATTCAAATAAAGCTTGGCTCCTCAGACAAGAGGTTGAGCTTGTCCCTACTCATGTCAATATTAAACCCAAAAAAAAAGAAAAAAAAAGGAAAAAAATATTTCAAGTCATTGATATTGTAACTAATCGCGAGATCAAAGTGCTCCTATAAATATTTGCAGTGCAATATTAAACCAGTACACTCTAGGACTCAACCTACTCAACTGCCATTTAAGCACAACCAACAAGCTCAATCACCAACCTTTTAGCTGTGTAGTAGAGTTAGCCATGGATTGGGTTGGGGCAATACTTGGGTTGCTTGCTCTTGTATATGTATTGCAAGCATGGCTATCCAAAAGCAAGAACAAGAAGAGGAGATTGCCTCCTGGTCCAAGAGGATTTCCACTTTTCGGAAACCTGCACATGTTAGGGGAGTTCCCTCACCGGGATCTACATCGACTAGCCCAAAAGCACGGCGACATCATGTATATGCGCTTAGGCCTTGCTCCTGTTGTTGTTGCCTCATCCCCTCAGGCTGCTGAGCTGTTTCTGAAAACACATGACCTTGTTTTTGCAAGTAGGCCACCTCTTCAAGCTGCTGAACATATTTCCTATGGGCAAAGGAATTTGTCCTTCGGTGCATATGGCTCTTATTGGCGAACCATGCGTAAGATGTGCACCCTTGAGTTGCTCAGCAGCCACAAAATCAATTCTTTCAAGCCCATGAGGAAAGAAGAGCTTGCCCTCTTGACTAAGTTTATTCAAGAGGCTGCTCGTGATCGTGTTACTGTTGATCTCAGTGGCAAGGTTGCGTCTCTCACTGCCGACATGAGCTGCCTGATGGTGTTTGGGAAGAAGTACATGGATAAAGAATTTGACGAGAGGGGTTTCAAGGCTGTGATCCAAGAGGGCATGCATTTAGCAGCCACCCCAAACTTCGGTGATTTCATTCCTTTTATTGCTCCACTTGACCTCCAGGGGCTAACTAAGCGCATGAAGGGTGTTAGCAAGGTGTTTGATGCATTTTTTGAGAAGATCATTGATGAGCATATTCAATCTACAGATCAAGAAAGAACTAAGGACTTTGTTGATGTCATGCTGGGCTTCATGGGGTCAGAAGAATCCGAGTACCGAATCGAGCGCTCCAACATCAAAGCTATAATTTTGGTAATTATACATACCCTATATATATTACCATGCATATTTTTGTACTGTTAGATTGTGAATCTGGACAAAACAGGCATCAATCCATGTGCAACAATTTGTCAAACCCTACTACATATCTTACAATAAATGGTGTTTCTGTCCAAAAATTTCCTTGCAGGACATGCTCGCCGGAGCAATGGACACAACAGCGACAGCAATCGAGTGGACACTCTCTGAGCTCATCAAGCATCCGTGGGTGATGAAGAAAGTCCAGAAAGAGTTAGAACACGTAGTGGGCATGGAGAGGGAGGTGGAAGAATCAGACTTGGAGAAGTTGGAGTACTTGGACATGGTAGTGAAGGAGACTATGAGGCTTCATCCAGTGGCACCATTGCTGCTTCCCCATGCAGCCATTGAGGACTGCAATGTCAATGGCTTCCACATACCCCGAAAATCTCGTGTTATGATCAACATATTTGCAATTGGGAGAGACCCTAGTATTTGGACTGATGCAGAGAAGTTCATACCTGAAAGGTTCCACGGTAGCAATATCGATTTTCGGGGACGTGACTTTCAATTTATTCCATTTGGGTCTGGCCGGAGAGGTTGCCCCGGAATGCAATTAGGGATAACTATGGTCCAGCTTGTGGTGGCACAACTTGTTCATTGTTTTGATTGGGAGCTTCCAAATAATATGTTGCCATCTGAGTTGGATATGACTGAGGAGTTTGGTCTAACAGTTCCTAGGGCTAAGCATCTATTGGCAGTTCCTACTTATCGCCTTCAGCAGCAATGATATCTATACTAATATGTATGTGTATAATTTCCATTTTCATAATTTGATATTTGGTAGTGTTAGAATAAACCAACCAAACTTTATCAGGTAAGACTATTTGTTGCGGGGATATCAATGAGCCAAATTAACAAGTTCTATTATCCATGGTTTATTCATAGTTGTAAGGCTGTAATTTTTTCTATGTAATAATAATAATAATTTGAGTTTCACTTTGTTATGAATGTATGTAATTCTATATACTGAGTGTTGAAATACGTGCAACCTATGTATATATGAAAATCACTCTTGTTTACATGTAAATATAGGCCACATTTGGTGCGTAGGATAGGTGACCATAAATTTCATGCTAAATCACTTTAAATTCGTAATTCTTAAGTGTTGCTTATAGATTTTATTAAATTATCACTAATGGGATCTAGCCCAGTGGAAAAGGGCCTTGACTTGCAGACCAAAAGTCTCAGGTTCGAATTTCCATGACATCTTAGAATGTTGTGTGTGTGTAAAACCCCACTCCTTTATAGTTTAGATTATGACTTGTACTTAAAAAAATATATATACCATACGTATCAAGTGAATTCAATAAGTTCATGCAAGGACTAGGTGTAGTTTTGAGCTTTACTTATGAAAAAGT